GTGTGTGTGTGTGTGTGTGTGTGTGTGTGTGTGTGTGTTTCACAAAAGCACGCGACTAAAAGAATGGAGGCATCCAGACTTGATTGGGAAGATATACTATTGTTTTTACTGCCACCACCATTGTATGACTTCCCAATGAAAAATGGTATGAGAATATTCAAAGACCACTTTATACTTTGCCTAGTAAAAATTATATTTTAACAGAGAAAAGCTCAAAAGCTGCACACATCCATGAGTGGAAATTAAGATTTCAAATGTTCGAAATGTGGCTAACACTTCTCTGTAAGCATTGGTCTCATTGACCATAGCAGAAGCCACACGTTATCTGAACACATTTTTGACTATTTCGACAAAGGTGTCTGCCCAAGCATTGTGTGCACTCGGTTAGCTCAGTTGATGTCTTACTGAACTATGGCGCCGGTGGCTGGGCACATGGATCGAACCAAAAACAGAGCGTTCTGGAACTCCTGGAGGTTTTCAAGGCTTTAAACCCACTTGGCTAGGTCCTATCTAACTTGGACGTTCAAATTGTAGTCCCCGCTTTTCGAATAACCGACTAGTGTTGATAGGAGTGAATAACCAAATAGCGTTGATAGGAGTGAATAACTGAATAGTGTTGATATGAGTGAACAACCGAATATTGTTAATAGGGTCGAATAACCGAATAGTGTTGATAGGAACATTAAACCCGTACACTTACTAACAATGGTTTGGTCATCATCAGAAACTGAGGAGAAAATCTGTTACTGCCATTGTTGTTTTTCTTCAGTCCAATCAAAACCCTGTGTTGCCCCATTCTATTTATAGTCTGATGCCCGAGTCGCCGCGCTGGCTTCTCTCCAAGGGACGTGTGCAAGAGGCCAAGGTCATCTTTGAGAAAATGGCGGCCACAAACCGGAAGCCGTTCCCAGAGGCGCTGTTCGAGGAAGTGGCGGCCGAAAGTGTTGGGAAAACCTCCGAGAAAGGAGAGACGGAGGAGAAAGAGAAGCTACAGGGGGATAGACCCCAAACCACACAGAAGGAGGACAGTTTACTCAGCATGCTCAAGCACAAGTGGCTGGCCGTGCGTCTCTTCATCTTGATATTCCAGTGGTGAGAATGGAGAACGGGTGGTTGGAGGGTGTCACTGATAGGTCTTGCACGTCCTTTCCTCTCAATCCACCCCACGCCAAC